ATATCAGTCTTTTGAAAAACTACGCTCATACATCAGCGAGAAAAAGGATGAGCATTCCCTTCCTCCCTGGCAGGACCGCGGCTCGGCCTGAATATTCATGAGGACTAAAATTACGCGCTACAATTTAGATATGAGCTCGTTTGTCTTAAAAGGAGTGTAGGAATCTGCTGGCATATTATAATGGGCAGAAGGGTCGGCCTTAAACGGAGAAGGGGAAGCTGCCGCCACTGTGAGAGAGGCCGCTTTAATCACCCATGTCATTGTGATCACACAGATACTCCCTCGCTCCGGCCCTCCCCACCACCACCCTGCCCTGCCCTGCCCTGCCCTGATCTCACACCTCCTTCCCTCTTGTCTTACGTTTGCTCTCCCTCACCTTTCTTAAAGTACAGCTACTCTATAATCTTAAAACTTATCTTGATTAACCCTCTAGAGGGCAAAGTATCCCATAGGTATTTTATTCTGGCTGATGCCAGACGCTTTTATTCAGCTGAGGGGAGCCCGTGCCCGCTAAAGGGTCAATTTTCATAAGGTTAATTCTTTCTAAAGACTACAGTTTCAACAAAAATTACACCTACTACATTTAAGTTTTCGTGATGATCGCGTGAATGTTTTGCATTGCAACAATATCCTCACTTGTTGATGTGGGAGACCTCACAAGTGATGACACTGTCACTGCTGAAATGCAAACATTCACGCGATCACCAAGAAAATCTGTAAGTGTGTATACATTTTTGGAAACACCCTGTATACAAATCATTACATACCCTAAACAAACGCAAGAATAATAAGACACCACTCATAGTTCCGTGTTATCAGCTGGAGTTGATGAATGCTTCAAATTCTAAGGTCGTCTTCATGTCTCACGAGTAAGAATAAATTTCACATTGGAATTGTCGTTGTGTTTTGTTAAGCTTCCTGCATGTATAACGCGTTGGGCCCGGCTCTCTCTGTGTCCCTCAAGGCTTATCTACCAGTTCATGGCCATCACACCCACACTGCCACCTCCCCCCCCCCTGGTCGTGTAGCTGTATAATTAGCTCTCAACTATAACCCCCACCACCATGACCACAATAACCACAGTAATCCCCCCCCCCTCTCACACACACAAAACCATTACCACCACTGCGATTTTAACCAACACTCATTCTATACTTACACCATCATGTAACACACACACACACACACACACACGTATCCTGGGTTGGGCCTCCTGTTTCTCTTCGTCTTCATTTTCTCTGGTTCCTGGCATCACGTTTTAATTCCCCCGTGTGTCCTTCTTTTATGTGGCAGGAGGAGGGATAGAAGGAAGGAAAGGGGGAGGAAGGGGGGCAAGGAGGATGGAAGGAGAGGAGGGGGGAGGAAGAGAGAAGAGAAGAGAGAAGCTGAGGAAGAGTGTTTATAACTGCCAGAGTAGTGGGAAGAAGAACAAGGGCGAGGAGAAGAACAAGAAAAAGAAGGAACCGTACAGGGTGAAAAGGGTGAGACGGGAACAAGACGAGAGGGAAGGAGAAGAGATGCTCGTAGATACAAGAGGGGGGGGGGAGAATTTGTAAACGGGAAAAGACGATAAAATCCGATAATGTTTCCAAGTAAGAGGGTGTTACGTGAGGCAGCCGATAAGAATGAGTGATATCGAGATGAGTTGAATGATAACAAGCCATAAGTATTAAGTATATGCAGAAATAACTTAGGTGCGATAAAGGTTAAAGTCTTCAAGAAAATTTTGTATCTGATGTTGCAAGAGAGGAATGAACACATACAGGGTGAGGGGGAGGTGGTGTTGGTGGAAGGGGGTGAGAGGTGGTGTTGTTGGAAGGGGTGAGAGGTGGTGTTGGTGGAAGGGGTGAGAGGTGGTGTTGGTGGTGGGGGGAAGGGGTGTTGGAGGGGAGAAGATCTGTTAAGAGGAGGATAGATTGGAGGTTGCTGGTGAGGGGTGAGGTGATTTTCAGATTTCAGATTTGCCCCGCGAGGGGGCTAGTGTATTGGGTACCCCCTTGATCCTATAAACGCTTTTGTGCTTCACAAAAGCATTTACAGCGCCCAACAGGGAAGCATGAGGAGTTCATGCTTGCCTTCGTGACTCATGCATTAAGGACGCAAGTGCCTGAAGGGCTGGGGTACTGGCGAGGGCCGAGGTAGGGTGTACAACATGGGGTCAGACAGCCTGGAGCACACAGCTCCACCTCTTCGGCCGTTACTGCAGAAAAAACATTAACATACGTAATCCTCATATCGAGACAGCCAACATCCTGCCTCAGTATCTCCTCATCTCGGTTCTTCTTCACTTTCACTTCCCGGTCAGCCTCAGAAGCAGCCAGCAAGAGAATCCTCAGATATAACCCTAAATCATGTTTTCATCCCCTCCTCCGCCTCCTTCCCTCCCACCCTTTCCTCACTCATAATCGAAGGTATATCAATCATATTTGTCAGTCAGCCTTCAGTGAATAGCTACATCCTGTGTGAAATATGTTGACACCACTCAAGAGCTTCAGTAAATCACACGTCTAGAAGCGGTGATGCATTATTGGCCGGGTGTATATAAGATGTAAACACAATCATCAGGGCCGAGATCTGCATAAGAAGCGTGTGAGTATATTACCCCGTACCCCACCCCATAAATAACCTGGGGTCCGGATTCTTAGTGGTTTGGGGGGGGGGGGGAGCATTAAATTATTTCCCATAAGTGGAGACAAGAGAATGAGTCTTGTTACGGAGAGCAACTAGAGTTTACTCAAAACGATCAATGCAGTCCGAGTCTCCATCTTTAGTGTTGGAACGTGAGTCAGACAGTCAGATGTGTTCCAGGGTCACGTAACCTTATCCCGAATCCGTCACTAGTCACTGTATGGTATGGGAGATGTGATGGTTGTAAATCGTAGGTTGCAACTCATCTGACTTGTCCCCTCATCACCGGGCTATTATCATTCAAATCAGGACATGGGACCGTCAGTGTGGTGGGGAGATGGTGTGTCGAGAGGAACCTGCGTGCGTGTCTGTCCGTCATTACTGCTACAATCTCTCTTATATTTATGACTGTACCTCCTTATTCTTCTCACTATTGATGGTTGCTGATTTGAATTTCAATGTTGATAAATGAGCTCATCATATATTTTACGTGAGGAATATGAATTGGTGATTGATGGTGCACTGTGGTGAGTGGTGGTGCAGTGTGGTGATTGATGGTGCAGTGTGGTGAGTGGTGGTGCAGTGGATCCATGCAGCGCTGTGCATCTTCATCTCCTTAAGTCTTCCCTTCGTGTTTTCTCCTATACTAATTACCTTTTCTTCTCATTTACAACGTCCATTTGTACATTAATATTCAGCTATAGAATTAATCAACACTTCATTGACTTCTTCAGATCTTCCTCATAGTCAATATTCTATCACTAGAAGTATTATGACTAGCAACAGCAACGAAGGAAATATCGAAAAAATAGAAAGACAAATTAAATCCTTTGACCATGTAACTTGCAATAGAAGGATAATGGTAAAGACATCAATAGGTAAGAGTGGAGGTAGAAACACTGGAATAAATTAAACTATTAGGCCTACCTGGGTCCACAGAGACAAACTCTGGCAGGACTGGTAAAGGCAGCCTCTCAATATGTGGACTGGTTGAACAAGGCCTCCAACCCTCAGACTTCAGGATGGTGCCTTGATCGATAGACAGTAAAGATACAACTAGAGATATTTTGCACAATAATCATCATCCTGATAGTCTATTCCTCTCCTTCGTTTATCACTGTCCTCGTTTATATCTCGTGTGTGTGTGTGTGTGTGTGTGTGTGTGTGTGTGTGTGTGTGTGTGTGTGTGTGTGTGTGTGTCAGTACATACTGTAGATTAGAACCCCGTGAGAGCACCAGCTACGCCAGCATTTCACACTGGCCTGACTGGAGACACATTAGCCACCACAGCTGGAAATCCCCCGCCTCCACCTCCCTCCCTCTGTTGTTCATCTTTATAAACAAACTGGTACAATAAAAGTTAAGTCCTCAATATTATAACCCAATACACGTCATCACGCTGGTACACGTCTGATAGTTTCAGACAGCAGTAAACGACAACACTCCTGGTTGCTCTTCGTCTTCGTACTGTTACAACAAGTTTATGCTTAAAGAGTATCTGGAATGGTGAATAATAAACGAGAATGTTTATACGGTTTTCTTAATTAAGGATAACGACACACGAACGAGGAGAGGCGATCAACACCAAACCAAAGCACAGACCCAAGATTCTCACTTTTTTTAATCGCCGTCGTTGTTATCAATCTCCGGTCTGCGAAAGGACTGTGGAACAAGAAGTTAATAATAAAGAAGGAAAAGCTGAGTGGGAGGAGTATTGTTGTCTGAGGAAGACTTCCGGAGGTGTTGTGTGGCGGTGATGAGCTGCCGCCACTGATGACCACCGCTGGCCAGCCCCCCACCACCGCCCAAAACAAAACAACACAACAACACACGGCTCGTCTCACAAAAATAGCAATTTTTTACACTGTAACAACTGAAAGTCTTTATTTAGTACTTGTCTTATCGTGAAGTGCACCGTGGAGTAAGTCATCTATCATTTTGTAGAAACGTATAGTGTACAGTACAGTATATATATATATATATATATATATATATATATATATATATATATATATATATATATATATATATATATATATATATATATATATATATATATATATATATATATATATATATATATATATATATATATATATATATATATATATATATATATATATATATATATATTACCGTATGTACCGGGTAATTTTTTTTCAAGATTTATTGAGAGGATTAAGTACTGGGACACCAACTGTCAGGGGAATTTGTCTATTTTTTCTGTCAAACATATACTCATATTTAAGGGTGTTTAGTGTTCACGATTAAATGTTTAGTTTGTAAGTATTATTAGGCATAGCATTTTTTTTACCATATACTGTATGTTAATCACAACAACCAATGAATGTTTATATGTTAATAAATTTATCACGACAACCACGGTAATGAATGTTTTCCTCTCGGCAGATGCGTGTGGCCTGAGTGACCTGTCTCACATCGAGGGTCTCCAGGAGAAGTCTCAGTGTGCCCTGGAGGAGTACTGTCGGACGCAGTACCCCAACCAGCCCACCAGGTTCGGCAAACTCCTCCTCCGCCTCCCCTCCCTTCGCACAGTCTCCTCCACCGTCATAGAACAGCTCTTCTTCGTCAGACTGGTGGGCAAGACTCCCATAGAGACCCTTATTAGGTAAGGATATGGCACAAAAGTATTAACGCTTAATAAAGGTTCACAATACACTTAAGTAATACAGAACTTTAAATTCATTTTACGTATTTCACTGCCTGCATTTTTGCGACTGTTCTTGTTAGGAATCTGATGACATAATCTATCAACACAAGTCAGCACCAAGACTGGTAACATGACGCGTTCTTCCACTAATTGACGACTCCTTTGCCGACAGGGACATGCTGCTCTCCGGGTCGACATTCAACTGGCCCTACATGGGCAGTATGTGACAGGCGGCTTTGGGCACGAATCCTGGTCTCACCCCCGGGAACGTGCCCACCTCTGCTGCCTCACACGCCCTCTCCTCCGCCGCCCACGCCCTCACGTCCGTCGCTCACGCTCAGACTCCGGGCCACACCCACAGCCCAGCCGTCTCCTCCTTCCAGCTTCCCACCCTGGCCGCAGCCTTTCGGTGATGAACCGCACAACCATCACCTTCAGAAGGACCCATCCACCAGCCGCCGCCCACCTCGCCTCTACCACCTCCCACACCATCACCACCACCACTTCCACCATACACTGCGAGAGCTCACCTCAAGACCACCACACCAAGAGGACTCGGTGGGCCTTCACCAACAGTAATAGGACTCCTCCCTCCCATACTACACTTAAACGGGAGTATGGTTGACGCTGCAGGATTGTTTTGGTCTTGGCAGAGGTGGAAAGAGGTGTCGGTGTAAACAGCGGTGCTCGTCCACGCGGTGAGTTACGGAGGGTGAGAATTCCGTAAACACTTCAGTGGGTGGAGTTACCATGTGGAATGAAAGGCTACTAAGGTGGAGTGTGGAGTGACTGGCTCCATGAGAGAGACTTCCTTGGCACATCACCAGACTTGTGTACACTTGGTGTAGTGAAGGAGCAGAGTACTCTTGGTGGGGGACTCCGGTGATTCTCAAGTGACAAGAAGTTAAACTTACGGAAAAATAATCTTATTGAACGTAAACTGTTGCCTGATGGACAACCAGATAGAAACTTATGCTAAGTATGTATTTAGAAACACAACAAAGCAGGTGTTCAACGACAGGAATATAATAAATAAAGCGATTACTCAAAAGACGAGATCCGTGTCTGGTCAGCCGAAGAAGACAAGAGACCGCAACGGGCCATCTACCCGGCGAGGGAAGTAACCACTTGTGTATACAGTACCCTCTTCACGTTACCTGTTCTTGTATATGTGATAACTAGAGACATCAGAGTGCAAGGAGTACAAGAAAGCACACAAGACGTCTTTAGTTGCATCCATGTATATTTTGTATATATTAGGATCTAAGGTTTTATACTCGGGTCGGGGTGTGTGGGTCGTCCCAGCACCTCACTTGTACAGTAGCAGACCTGAGCACTGCCTCGGTCCCTCCTGTCTCCCAGCCCCCCGCCCTACTCCACCCGCCTCCTCCTCCCTCTATACACACCTCCATACTGATTGTGCGTATATATTACAAACAAACAAATAAACACAGATTCGTGCTTGGAGACAAAAAAAAGCACACAACACAAAAAATGATGCAGATACAACACGTTTTATATTGTGTGTGTGTGTTTGAAAATGAAGCAGAATGATCATTAGTAGACGAGAAATACACACTGAAAAACTGTGCAATGACACAACTTGTGGGAGGTGTGGAGTGCGGGCGAGGGTGGGTGGAGGCGCCTGGGGGTGCCGGAGAACAGATACTCTAGCCTATGTCCCGGTTCTGTAGATTTTCCCTCATTTTGTGGTGCGCAAAGTTTGGGACCGTCTCAGTTTTTTGTACTGACATTTATCATAAACCCACACCCTTCCAGATCAAATTTTTGTTACTGTTATAATTGTGCACAGATGAGAGAGATATTTGGTGCAAAATACTTGTGTTTATTGTGGTGCTTGATATCACGCAGGAGAAGATTCTGTCAATATGAATCACATATCGCGTAAAATCAAAACCAAGCGACATAATAGTGCACAAGGCAGGCTCAGCTCTGTGCTTGTATACCTACCCTCCCCCTCCCCTCCTCCCCCAGGGTCACGCAGGGTCACCAGACCCTTCCAGTACAACCCGCCGGAGCTCCACCATATCCTCGTCTTGCTGTACTTAATTCATCTACCTACTTAATCTATGTGGTGGTAACCTCCTCAACAGCCTCACTTCAGTAAGACAAAACTGAACAACTTCTGGCCTAATATGATGCACGACACACGTGATGTCTTGAATAAAATTATGCAGTATGTTTGACTGAAGTGGGTTGAAGGCGGTGGAGACGGCAGCACAGAGCACTGTCAGGCAGCGGCCTCATCACCGGCCTCACCAGGCGTTGACCCACGAGCTGTGGCCTAACCATCTAGCGGCTAACATCAACGACCTCACCACCAGCCTCACGCACTCACACAACTGTGTACTGAATGTTGTTTTGTTTGTAAAGTCTAGCAGCCCTGGAGAGTTGAGAGTGTAGTACAGACGCCCCGGTGTAGGCCAGGGCCACCCAGTGTACAGGTGCCGCCAACAAGTGTACAAAGAGGCACGGGCCGCGCTGTGCGGGGCGGACGGGCCTTCTCCTCCCCCTCCTCCTCGGGGCAGGCCCTGGTTACTCCCCAAGTACTAGGCCTCAGAGGGCGGCACCCGTCTGCCCGGACAATTGCAGCGCCGCCCGTGTGAGCGTCCTAGGTGTGTGACAACCGTGACGTCATCCATGTTGTTTGTACTTAGGCTACACAGGTGTCGTAGACACAAACAGTATGTTTTCTCTTAAATAAATGATCTCAAAAATTCTGTTGTAAACTTCCACTTTTCTTTCCCTGTAAATGTAGGCATGTTGTCAAGTATTGTATTATAAGTTACACCAAAAACTATGAAAAAAAATTGAATATGACAGTATAGTCTTCAAGAAACTAAGTCCAGCAGTAACAAAAAAAATCATGAATAAGACGATTTTATTTTTAAATGCAGTTGACCGATATAATGGAGTGGACCCACGAATGATGGGTAGGATGGTGTACACTAACAACACACACATGAAGTCATCACAAAAAAATACTATTACAAAGGCTTGACCCTCCCGCCTCTATAACAAAACTGGAAACAATATACAGTACACTGGTTCAAAACAGAGATAAAAAACAAACAAATGTACAATAATTTTACAGAAATGGCCGTCACAAGGTCGGTACGTTTAAAAATCGACAAACAGAACTGTAATTTGAAGACAGGTCTTAATTTAATGGTAATACATATTTTTATTAACAAAACAGTATCTTTAACTTCAAGACTGACAAAAAGTTGTAAGTACGCGACCGTACATATCCCAAGAATGATCTTAAGTTTAAAAAAATACTAAATAAATCTAATTCTTGAGACTAACTTACTGGGATTAAAAAAAACATCGACAAAAATAAAAAACGATGTGATCTCAAAAAGTCAATAAATGTATTTAGACTAGCACCGCCATGACTCTTAGTACACACACCAAAAATCATGTGACTGAAAGGAGCAATAATAAAAACTACGTACATGAAGAACAAAAAAAGTGATACGTGAATAATGACATTACAATACAATTTGAAGAAAAAAACCAAGATGCTAACTGGACAATCAAATACTTCACACAATTTACACCAAAATTATGAGCAAGGTATCTCACCATGTACAGGCTTTTCCCTTATAAACAACATAACTATATACAGAAGAACACTTAAGAGTCATCGCAGGTGGTAATAAAGGTACCTAATGAGGAATGACAATGTATGTGTGTAACTGAACTATGTACTGTTATAAAGAAAGAGTAAAGCACTGGTGGAAATATCCAAGGCTTAACCCAATACTAAAGTCACCTGGACATAAAGAGGAATATTGGACAGAAGAAGCAACAAACTCGTCAGTGATTATTACTAACGGATACAGAGCAACAGTAAAATGTCGTCTATTAATCAGTAAATATGTCCACAAGAGCCCAAAAACAGGAGCAGCCACATGGACTTAACAATAAACAAAATAGACGTGTATTCCAAACATTTAATGTTTAGTTTTCTAGAAGGATGTTAATCTAGAATCCGAGACTAAAATGCCACAGATGCTGTAGTACATTATAACATCAATATTCTGTGATCAGGTACATGATTAAAATTATTTAACAATATTTATTAAGCCCGTAAAATGAAAATTTTAAAGTAAAAATGGACTTTGCAGACAAACAAATGATGAACGGAGAAAATTATTAACAAATATATAATATACACACACACACACACACACACACATATATATATATATATATATATATATATATATATATATATATATATATATATATATATATATATATATATATATATATATATATATATATATATATATATATATATATATATATATATATATATATATATATATATATATATATATATATATATATTTCATGTAGATCCACAATGAAAACGTGGATAAGATGAATCTTGATAAAATCACACGGGAAAAGGGAAACAACGGAGCACCTTAGCTTTCGTCTTTATTCAAGACATCTTCAGAGGCAACTGAACAAAGACAAAAGCTAAAGTGCTCCGTTGTTTACCTTTTCCCGTGTGATTTTATCAAGATATATATATATATATATATATATATATATATATATATATATATATATATATATATATATATATATATATATATATATATATATATATATATAAAGATTCTTTTGAAAACCAGTTCCATAATACTACCGAAAATGTACAAAATACCGCGTAAAGCTGGTAATACATGAAACTGAAGATAATAAATTTCTGGTACTATATATATATATATATATATATATATATATATATATATATATATATATATATATATATATATATATATATATATATATATATATATATATATGCTGATAACCACAAGGAAACAAGAAAACACGAAGTTCTCAAGCGCTTTCATGTAATTCACAGTAGAGTTGGGCGAGATCAAGTCCCTAGGGAACAGTGGGTGTCCACAATGGTCCGGTCACTAGGTAGTGACCCTATTAATCTTCATAAGCACAGCAGCAGTCGGTAGTCAGGTCAGAGGGTAAGATGACCCAACCTTCTCTCCTGGTTACAAATCTTCTTAATTACGAAATTATCCAGTTCGTACATACCATTACTCAAATTCATGTTGACGGATTCTGTATGTTTAATGAGCCTGGATTCTATAATGTTCCTACTGTCAATTGAATTACAACGTAATATTGAGGAGGCATTATCCCAGTCAATGCAATGCTTATTATCCCTCAAATGAACAAACAGAGCATTGGATTCCTGACCTATCCTAACACTATATTTATGTTGTTTAAGTCTAGTTACAAGATCTTAACCTGTCTGGCCTATGTAAAACATATTACATTCCTTGCAAGGAACATTATAAATGCAACCGCCTGCATTGTTGGGGGAGTTCTTGATTTACATTTGTTTTACAGTGCATGAGTTTTTAAATGCCACATTGACATTCCAGATTTTCAGTTGGAATGGAATTTGAGAGAATTTTTGGGAAATGGTAATACTAAGAGATTCTTATGGTCATGGGTGGGCTTGGGATCGGTTCTATAAAAAGATTTCTTAGTAATGTTAAGGCATTTGTCTATGAAAGATCTAGGGTATTTAAGGTTCAAGCCAATATTATAGATATATTTATATTCCTCATCAATGAATTCCGGACTGCAAATTCTCAAGGCAAGTAAAAACATTGATGAAAATACTGACTGTTTGACTCTATTATGGTGGGCAGAATAATAATGAATGTATGAACACACATTAGTAGGTTTCCTATAAATACTGAACTTAAAGGTGTTACCTATTCTATGGATCAGATAGTCTAGGAATGGCAATTTACAGTCATGCTCTAATTCCACAGTGAATTTGATCGAGGGGGCTAAGTTGTTAAGTTGTGGCAGAAAAGCTTTTAGGTCCTCATTACATGGCCAGAGACATAATGCATCATCTACATATATCTCATATATCTAAACCAGACTGCTGAAGGTGGTAAAATATTACTTAATAGTTTCTTTTCAAAGATTTCCATATACAAGTTGCTTAATACTGGTGAAAGCGGATTACCCATTGCCATACCAAATTTTTGAGCATTATATTCTCCATTGAATTCAAATTTACAATCATTAATACATAGTTTGATGAGTTCGATGATGTCGTCTTTCGAGACAGGCAATGAAATATTGTCCAGGGAATCTATGAAGAACTCCAGTAAATCATCAACTGGGACCTTTGTAAAGAGTGATGTTACATCAAAACTGACCAGTTTAAAATCATAATTAATGTGTAAGTTATTGAGTTTATCAACCAGATCCATATTATTCTTAATATTAAGAATAAAATGGATCTGGTTGATAACTTACTCATTAACTTACACATTAATTATGATTTTAAACTGGTTAGTTTTGATGTAACATCACAGCTAGGGGAACATATGGGTACGGGGGTGGAGGAGACTGCAGTGGGAGCGGGTAAACAAAGTGAAAGATTACAGGGAATTAGTGTTAGGAATGATGATAAAACTAAATTAGACAGGGAGTTTAAACCTAAACGCAGTAAAGGGAGGACTCAAAACACGACTAACTTAAATGTCTACTACGTGAACAGTAGAAGTATAAAAAACACAATGGGTGATATTAGGGCCTTGGTATGTACCGAAAAAATCGATATAATAGCATTCACTGAAACATGGATCAGCCTAGACTCACGTGAGTTACCGGTCGAATACCAAATTGCGGGTTACAAATTGTTTCATACCGATAGGCAGACCAGGAAAGGAGGCAGAGTAGCAATCTATGTCAGGGATAATCTGAAGTGTGAAATAAATAAGGAAATAAAAACTGAGCGGAATACAGAAACAATTTGGATAGAATTAATCGACGGTAGGGAAAAATTAATTACAGGAGTAATATATAGACCTCCCAATCTTGATAGAGTAAATGAGCGACTTATCTGGAATGAAATGCGCAGGGCTTCCATACACAACAAAGTCTGTATAGTAGGCGACTTTAACCTTGGCCAAATAGATTGGACTGACCTTACGGGTAACTCAGAATCAGAGGATTTTCTCGAAACGATCCAGGACTGTTTCCTAAGTCAACATATAACCGAACCCACCCAGGGTAATAATATACCCGATTTAGTTCTGTCAAACAGAGAAAACCTCAATAGCAATGTCGAGGTAGGGAACGAGCTTGCAAACAGGTATCACAAAGAAATTAGATTCCAGTTAGATTTTCAGGGCAGACGGAAGGAAAATTCCAGTAAAGACCCAGATTTCAGAAGGGCAAACTTTGACAGTTTAAAGAGGCAGCTGAGAGAGGGGGTGTCACGCTTGGGGGTGAGCTACATGACCTGGCATGAGGTGACCTCACTCTATGCACCAACAGAGGACGACCTCATCGTACCAGGAGACCTGATGGTTGAGACTGACCTGATAACGAGATCTGAGATTGCCGAGTTCCACGACAAATTAAATAATGAGTCACTTAATGCACAAAGGCAGAACATACCATACAAAAAACTCAGATGAGAGAGCAATGACCCTAAATGGATTAATAATTATCTAAAGAACATCATTGGCCAATGGAAGGCTATAGGTAGAAGGATAAATCGTGGCGAAATTTACCTCCGGGATTATTATAAGGTATTGGCGAGTAGGGTTAAAACCGAGATAAGGAAAGCTAAGAGGAATAATGAGGTAAGGATAGCAAGGGAGGCGAAGACAAACCCCAAAGGATTCTACCAAATGTATCAAACTAAAAC